CACAGACTCCATGAAGGGTGCCAAATTTCAGTTTAAACAAGGGCACCTAATACCCATGTGGCGGCCCTGGGGATATTCCCTACTCGTCATCACCAATTTCGCTCAAATTTATAGGACATGCAGGGCTTTGCTAGAAATAAAAGTACCCAAAGTGGGAACTCCAGGTGGCCAAGCATTCCTCGCACCATGTTTGCCAAGCAGCGGTTGGCGTATCACTAAGAACTCAAACTAGTAATTCGATGATCGTGAGTTCGACTTCCCGTGTGATTTTTTTCTATTTTTTCTCTCAATTTTTATATTATTCATTTTATAATTAAGCAAAGAGATGAATAATTTAGCATAGAAGCAAGATAAAATTTAACAGAACAACTTGTTGTTAGTCGCCAAGCTCATGATGCATAGCCAAATATGTATAGTGAACGATAGCTAAATTTGATTATGATAGCCGCGAATTTTAAAGGTTTTCGAATATCGCAAAACAAAGGTGAAATTTTCCAATTATTCAAAGAAAATTTTCCAAATTTGTAAAGAAACGTGGAGAAGCGGTAGGGTATAAATGGTAAAAATGAAAATGATATATAAAAGAAGGTTTTCATTGTGATGACAATGCTTTTCAATCATCAATCATTCAATGAATGGTGAAATCTGTAGTATGGTTCTAGATCCAGAAAATACCACTACCAATTGTGAAGAAAGTGACAGAGAAAATTTCGATTGACAAGTTAGTCGGAATTCTCAAAATAGCAGTTACAGGACTTCAACAATGTAGCTGAATAAGAAATTATGTCTGTCTACAGAATTAAAGAGGAAGTATTAGCACAAAAAAACAAAGCAACTTGCATTGAAAGAAATGTTTAATAAGGTAAACAAATAAATATTAAGATTTTTTTTTTTTTTTTTTTTTGTAAATTTTGATACCCTTTAGATTATACTTCATTTGACACCCTTTAGATTATACTTTAGATAAATACTTCATTATTTCATGAATCACGATTTCATATTTTTAATTTTATAATTTCTACATGCCATCTTACTAGATTTAAAGTGATGATCTAATATCTGGAATCACCAAAGTCCCAATGACTCTGGATTTCGGACTTTGTACTGTACTGTATATTGATTTTACAGGTATTTTGCAAGATCCTGCACATGGGGCCTTTAGTAACAACACAAATTTTAGTAGAATCTATGCACAGTTTTTAGTAGAATCTATGAACAGTTTTCAATAGAATCTCTATATGTAACTATATGTAAGCTGTTTTTAAAATTGTATCAAATTTTAAGACTATACAGTTTCTGGCTCACTTTATAGAAAACTTGGCCACAGTTGTAAAAGATTCTTAAAATGTGTAACATTGCATTTTTTTATAAAATTTTATAACATATTTTCACAAGGTTTCCTTCGTATGCATTATTTATGATGGCATAAACAAATCTTTCAAGAAATATTCTTACAATTCACAGATTTAAAATTTTGTAATGATATGCAAAATACTATTTTAGCAGATAGAAAATTAGGCATTTTCTTCCGATGTCCAACTTTTTCATCTGCAGTTTTACAGCTCTCAAATGATTTTAGTGAGAGTATGCTGAAGAAAATGGATAAAAGAGGGGAAGAAAATACATAGTGATCTTGAGAATATGAAAAGATCTTCATTTGAATAAAGAATAGTTCAATAATTTGAAAAACAGAAGCAGTATTTTTTTTCTTCCTTTTTTTACTTATATTTAGCATGCTCACATCTGGAAAGAAAAAATCAAATGATTAAATAGCATGCATTGTTAAGAAACTGCTGTTCGACATAGGACAAGTAATTTCCCTCTTTTTAATATAATTTACCAACTTACTTGTTTATGTGAAAAACAAAGGACATTTTTTTTCCTGCACATCTAGTGGAGATCAAACCAAACTATAAAGTATTTAATTCATTTGTCAGATGAATACTACATCATCCTTCATTTTATTTGCTTCATTTACAGATATACATATTCTTTTGCTTTTCAAGCAAGATCTCAGATCAATGCAATATTTGATTAATATAATTATTCTTTCTGTTGCTGAATAGAAATTTTTAAATAAGCAACTATAAAATTTACCGCTAAGAAGTTTTAGCCCATATGAATTAAAAGTTTATCACACTGAAATGTGTCATAAAACATTTAAGATTTATGTGATTCAGTCAGATTTCTTGTGATTTTATACCATGGCAAGAAGTCATACAAAATTTGCCTGATCTGCCCATTACTTTGACAATTAGTCAACAGCTTATCGTAAACATAATTTTGAAATTTAAAGTATGGAATTGTGAGCTGTAGTTTGGCTGTGCTTTCTATAGTGGTTAGTAAATGCCAACTTGTAGCCCCGAACCAAGAGTGTAAGTTGGAACATTGGTCTCGAACTCAAACTGCATGCAGGCCGAATTCTCAGTATCGAAATGGTTGACTTATAAGAATTTTTTTAAAACAAAATAAACTTTATTGACAAAATAAAATATTTCAAATAAATTTTATCCCACGAAATACTTATCCAAACATAGATAATATCCAAAGAACAAGAATTCAAATTTATATTAATTTTGTATTTTAATCTGAAATCTAAAGTTTGGTACCTGTGATATATTTCTGCTTGTTACACTTTGTAATTCAAATGTATTTACAGCTAAATATTGTATTTCCAAACTGATATTTATTTTAGTAATTCTTATATGTTTAATTAATCATTAAATAGCTTACTTAAATACCTTTTAATTTAAATTAAAAATAAACAAATTATCAAATTTTTGTTTGAGAAAACTTTCCAAGTGAAACAAAACTTAAGAATAAGTAATGGCAACCTAGGCTTTTTTTTCTAATTTATTAAAACATTTCCTTGACTAGTAAATGAAGATGCTGGATTATCAGAAAAGAATCCTCTGATTACAAAATTTAAGATTTTCTATCATTACAAACAGAAAATTAATATGTCATTCTAAAGGGGAAAATGCTAAATTTTTAGTTTGTGGCATTGTTTTTTCCAAATAAGTGGCAGCGCTGTTGTTAAAAAAAGGTGTGGAAATGGCATCTATGCAGAAGGCTTTTTGTATGCTCTCCTTTTCAAGTAGTCAGTAATAACTGTTTAGCATGAATTTAGGAGACAGTACCATACACCGCTCACTCACACCATTAGATTGCAGCTAATTATGATGGTAGCTGTATAGTTGATACAGTGCAGTCAAGTACACAGCTACTCTCTTAGGTCATCTGATTTAATCCTATGTGACTCCTTCTTTTGGGAATATGTCAAAGATCTTGTGTTCATACCACCTTTGCTCGAATTTAAACAGTATCTTTGTGATGCTTTACAAACAGTTAATTGAGAAATGGCATATTCGCATTGATATTATGTGGGTGACAAAAGGAAGTCACATCCAACACCTAAAAAAAAAATGTGGAATATTTTTTTTTTTTTTTTTTTCTTTACAATGACATATTATTTACGATTTTGTTTGTTGTAATTATTTAAAATATTAAATTTGGTAATTGGATGATCTTTCCTCATAATCATACGTGTATTTGCATATAAATGATTATAAACTTCTTTATTTCTTCTGGGCATTTGACGAAGTTTCGATTCTGATAAAGTTTGGAGCCTTCGAAAGAAATTACTAGACATTATCTTCATCCTGGATAGTAGATGCTCATCGATAAATAGGGCTTTTTTCTTATTAATTTTTAACTGTTATAAAGAGCTGTTCATATATGAATATATTCCAAAAGGAACCAATTATTCTTAGAGCAAAAATTCATAACTGACTGTAGTTATTTTTGACAAGTATGAATAAAAATTGATTAAATATGCAACCTCATATCTTTGAATAAGAATTATATCACATTTTAAATTTATTAGCTCCATTTATAAATTTTTTGATGCGTTTTTCATGTTCATTTTTAATAATAAGGAAAATAATGTAAACTCAGACTTCAGATAACTAAAATCTTGAAATCTTTGCAATGTATTTGTTTTAATTGCAGGTACTTGCGTATTATCCCATTAACCATCAAACTGTCACCAAGCAACTCAATTTAATGCCAGTTGTGAATAAGCGTGACATAACAACACACTCTTAACTTCTGTGTATTTGTTTCATGTCACTCAACTGATTCTTGATAAACCACTTTTTGGTTTTCATAAACAAAAAAAAAATTAACTGTTACTGCTGTATTTTTTCCTTGCATTTTCTTAAAAAAGGGGTTGATTAGAATTTTCGGCCTGCAGATCTTCTACAGATCAGCAAGCAGTGGATTATTTTCAAAGTTTCCAGATTCTACCATTTCAAAAAAAAAAAAAAAAAAAAAAAAAAAAGTATATCAATGGAGATGATGCAGTCAACTGAATATAGACAACAAATCTGTAACAGGCTGAAAAAACAGTTACTTGGAGAAAGTTTGTACTAACAATGTTCTAAAACTGAAGAGTTAGCCAAATAGGTGAAATTATTGAAAGCTTTTTAAGAAGCACTAAAAGGAAGTTGTTCGAATACTAACTGTATATAAAATAAAGTGACGTTGGTGTAATCAAAATTTCGTAGGAACTTTGGCGAGATATCTGCCAGCTTTCGGGTTCGGCAGATAATACATAAGTACCCAAATACATAATTCAAATAAATATCCTCCAGATTGTGTAAAATTGCTTTAGAGTGGGTAGTTTGAGATCACTATGTTGGACTCCTGCATTATTTGGATGTGTCCTTTCACCTTCTTACAGTTAAAGGGCTGTGAACTGCCATCAGTCAAGTGTCTGGCCATTGGAGGAAAGAAATAAACCTTAAATTCCACATATTTTTTAGATATCTATTGCAGATAAGTGTTATATCTTAGTAAAGAATGAAAACAACAGTTATCTGTTAATAAACTCATAAAATATGTTTAAAACTGTAATAGCTATTACCTGCATTCAGAGCACTAATTCTAAGGATAAAATTAAAATGATGGGAACTTATTTATAAGAAAATAAAACTGCATTACAATGAAAAACCTTTTTTAATTTTATTAGATTATGAAAGTATATGAAAATCCACTTGAAAACATTTCATCTCTGCTCCAGAGAAATTCCTATTAAAAATATGAATAAATTATTAATATAATGTATTAAATAAGCTTAAAAATATTATATTTTAAATATTAATATTCAATATTTATTAAATAAGCTTTGAACCATAATAAGACATAAGCATTACATTCATAAAAAAATTTGAATTGTGTACTTTTATAAATATCATTTGCAAAGTCAGAGGCATCATGATGCCTAATCTCACTAGACAAGCCTGATGGAGAAGTAAAGGTGATCTTTATTATATATATCCAAGCACTGAAGCAGCTGCAATAGCAGAGGGATTTGAAAAGACTCGTTTAAATGTTTGAAAAGACTTAAATCAGGTAACATGGTTAGAAAATTAAATTTTAATGATGTAGAATCTCAAAAAGACTGCAAAGTCTGTATCCAAGGTAAACAAACTGTTCAACCTTTTCAAAAAGAATCAAAATTTCAAAGTGATAAATTAGTGAATAAGATTCACTCGGATTTGTGTGGACCTATGAGAGTCCCATCCATGCTGGTTCACATTATTTTGTAACCTTCATAGACGACAAATTGTATTATGTTGAAGTTAGTTTTCTTAAAACTAAAGACGAATTAAAAAATGCATTCATAAAATACAAAGCTGTGGTTGAAAACCATCTAGGTAAGGAAATAAAAATCCTTCACTCTGATAATGGTTTTGAATATGGCAGAAAAGAATTTAATACATAACTTCAAGAATGCAAGATTAAACGACAATTCTTGGCACCGATGACTCCCCAACATAATTCGAGAGTTGAACGCATGAATTTAACTGAATTGCCCAGATCTTTATTACTACATTACAAAGTCCATAATCCGGACGTCGATTATCCGGAATGATCTATAATTCGGACCTCAAAGCCACAAACTTATGCATGCATGAGCGTAAAGCAAGTAAAGTGTTTACCCATGTGCGCTTCCGATAGTGAAGAAAGTAACAGAAAAAGTTTTTGAAAATGAAACAATTTTGATTGACAAGTTAGTCGGTATTCTCAACACAGCAATTGCAGGACTTGAAGAGTGGAACTTTGTAACTGAACAAGAAATTATGTCTGTTTATAGAATTAAAGAGAAAGTATTAGCACAAAAAACGAAGCAACTTGAATAATTTACATTGAAAGAAATGTTTATTAAAGTAGACAAATAAATATTAAGCTTTTTTTTTTGTAAATTTTGATACCCCTTAGATCATAATTGCTCTTTATTTCATAAATTAGGTTTCATATTTTTAATTTTATAATTTCTGCATGCCATCTCACCGGATTTAAATTGATGATCTATAATCCAGAAAAACCCCTAATCGCCAATGTCCCGACGAGTCCGCATTACGGACTTTGTACTGAATAAAGTAATCTTCCCGAATGCTTTTGGGCTGAAACCTTGAACGTGTGCTATTTATATACAGTGGTGGCCAAAATTGTGGACACTTTTGGAAATTTTTATGTTTTTGAACTTTGTATGCTTATAGAAAACATTACGTTTCACAAAATGCAAACTTGTATATATCATTTTAAAGAGAACTTATTACTGAATTCAATACAAAACACAAAAATTCAATTATTGCAATACAAAAAAAGTTAAACCATAATAGTTATCGATATACATTAGATAGTGATGATCGCAGTGAGTTATCAGTACTTAGTAGGGTACCCTTTATTTTTGATTACAGCTTCACATCGATGTTTCGTTGAGCTGACAAGAGTTTTAAGCTCTTCTTTCATTGTTACATGATGCCAGGAAACAATTATAGCCTCAAATAGTTCTCTTTTATTTGATGGGCGTCTCATTCGGACAAGAGTTTTCAAACGGTGCCTTAAATTTTCGATAGGATTCAGGTCAGGACTGTTTCCTGGCCATGACAACAATTTAATGCTCTTTGTATGAAACCACACTTTCTATATTTTGGCCGTGTGGCAAGGAGCAGAATCCCGCTGAAAAATAAACGAAGCATTGTTGGGAAAGAGATCACTGATGGAAGGTAGAAATTTTGGTTCTAGAATAGTGTCAATGTATTTTCTGGCATTCAGTGTCCCATTGATGACATGGAAGGCAACCAATACCATCTGCTGACATGCATGACCAAATCATAACACTAACTGGGTTCTTCACAGTTGCTTGAATGCAGTCAGGATGTAGCTCTTGTCCTATTCTACGTCTTACATATTTTCGCCCATCACTACCGAATAACGATATCTTAGTTTCATCACTCCATATAACTTGTGACCACTGATCATCTGTCCAATTAATGTGTTCCTTTGCCCACTGCAGTCTTTCGTTGCTGAAAATTAAGATAAGGCTTTTTTCGTGGAATTCTACCTCTCAGTCCAACATCTGTTAATCTTCTCCTGATTGTTCTTGAACTGACAGAAACACCAGCATCATTCAGATATCTTTTGATGGCCGCCGATGACATTTTTCTATCTTGGAGACATAGTCTTTTTATTCTTCTGTCATCAATAGATGTGGTGCCCCTTTTTCGGCCTTTTCCTTCTTTGTTTTTTATTGAATTTGTCTCCTGATATCGTAAACAAAACTTTCGGACTCCAGATGTAGTCACTGAACCACCAATCTGTCTTGCAATTCCAGCATAGGAAAGACCACTTTCTTGTAACACAATGATATTACATCGCTTTCTAGGTGTCCAATCTACTCTTTTATTTGATGTCATTACTTCTTGACTAAATATTAAAAATTTTTACAATAATTCCTACTTGTAAATGCAGTGTATAAGAAACAGGTCCTCCTTCTACAGAACAAAGCAAAATAATGAATTGTTTCAAGTGTAAACATGTCAGCTTCTACTGACAGTTACTAACATTTGATTGGTTCTCAGAACAAGAACAGTGATTGGCCAGGAAAGTTAGACATTACAAACCACTTCATAACTGTGTTTTTTATTTATATTAAAGTACATATAACTTTTTTTTTGTATTGCAAATAATTGAATTTTGTGTTTTGTATTGAATTCAGTAATAAATTCTCTTTAAAATGATATATACAAGTTTGCATTTTGCGAAAGGTAACATTTTCTATAAGCATACAAAGTACAAAAACATAAAAATTTCCAAAAGTGTCCACAATTTTGGCCACCACTTTATATACATAATGGTTGGGAATCGAAGTCGGGGGAGTAAATAAGAAACCATACGAGTTATTTTTTGGCGTCAAGCCAACTGTCTCACTTCAAAGTATTTGGGCAGAAATGTTTTGTACTTAATGAAAGGTTAAAGGGAAATTTGATCCTTGATCAGAACATATTTTGTGTAGGATACTCGAATGAATTGAAAGCCATACAGGCTGTAGAATAAAAAATTCCAAAAAAATTGATGATAGATGTTAGATTTATTGATGAATTTGAAAACCGTGCTATGTTAAAGATTTAGAAATTTTATTTTTTTAAAAATATACCTGATAAAAAGAAGGAAGAACCTTTCGAGAGTAAAACAAATATCGGCTGGTGAAATAACAGAGGACCCCTCAAATATGGCAGAAGCATCTGCTCAGTCATCTCATAAAAATGATTGATTCTGAAGCAATACCTGAAATGCAGATCAAAAGATGGCCAGGTTGGCTGAATAAAATTAAGACTGGAAGACTAAAAAAGAAGTAGTATCGCAATATGAACATAAAAGAGGAAGAAGCACAAATTGCTGAAGGAGGTACAAAATCCGAAATTAGAAGAATCATTAAATGGAAGATATGCTAAAGAATAATGCATTAGGCTATGCAAAATGCATATGAAGCGCTTATTAAAAATGCTGCATGGAAATTAGAGAAATGACCACAAAACAAAAAGATAATAGGATGTCATTGGGCTCTAAGAATGGAATATAATGCATATGGAACAGTACAAAACAGAAAAGCTTTATTAGTTTCCAGAGGATTTGCACAGGAACCTGGAATTGATTTTAATGAAACCTATGGACCTTATTCTATGTCAACTAGATTTTGTTATGGCTTATGTAAATGGAGATTTGAAAGAAGAAATTTACGTGGAACAAAAGATTTGAACACCAAAATAATCCTGACTATATGTATGCTTTGCAAAAGTCTCTTTATGGTTTAAAACAAAGTGGACGACAATAACATGAATAATTAGATCAAAACAAAACAAAGTGTTTACATGATAAAAACATCTCAGTGTGAGTTTATTCTAATTTTATATGTAGATGACTTAATAATAACAATATATTATTATGACTTAATACTAACACATTTATATGCTGAACTTAAAGATTAACTTTCTAAAGAATTGCAGTTTGCAGTGCTGAACCAGTTTAAGAGATTGTGTAATCAACTACTTCATCATTTTAATATTCTACTGTTATAAGTTACAAAAGCAGAAATAAGACAAAGAAGGCAGTTATTAGGTACTTCAACAAGTAATTACTAGTAACTGTAATGCATAATTGCAAAACAAGACTCTTTATTTTAAAAGAATGGCATTTGAAAACGTGTACATATTTCCAACATAACAAAAACAATTTTTCAGGTATTCTGATAATTAACAGAAGAGTTGATCTATTAAACTTCAAAAACATGTGAGGAATAAAGTAACAACTACCAAAGAATGTAAAAAATTTTAATCTTAAGGAGTAGAAAAATTTGAGTTTTAAGGAGTAAAACAGCAAACTCTAAAGGAAAACATGTTCTTTCAGAGCTTACTGTTTATCCTTAGAATTCAGCCTCTCTTTTTTTTTTATTCATTAAAAACACACACAAGTTTTTTTTTCCTTCGTCATTTAGTTTTTTTTTTTTAATAGTTGTTTCATTTTGCATAAATAGACATAAATTTTTATAACATTTATAATGCATAATTTTACAGCTCATGTTCATACATCTTGAACAAAATGTTTATTTCAATTATATCGTCTTTAATTATACCTCGAAGTAGTTGCTGTTATGCAAATAGTATATTTACATGCTATTAATACTAGACAAAAAAAAGAATATTCTGGTAAATAAAGAGTGGAGGATTTATGCATCACTCTAATTGCAAAAATGACTGGCCATCATTGTAGAGCCCTGAAGTCAATGTTTAAAAAATTCTACACATACTCTTTTAAAATGAAGAACCCCCAAAAGTTCAGGTGAGATGGGCCCTTCACTTCATAAATCCCCACTCTAAATAAACAACTTTTTAAAGTGTACTCCAAGATAAGCTGAACTCAAAACAAGTGAAGTCTCCCATGTCCAGCTCAGTTCATCTTGGGCCACACGGTATCATATTGAATTATAGTGTACTGTTAGATGATTTCTATTACATGATTACCTTTATGTGTTCAACATTAACTCCATGGTTTTTTAGGATTTGGAGGACTTGCTTGATTCTGAAAGAAATATATATATATAAGGCATGATTTTGAGTATGTATCAACAGAATTATTAAATACAATTAAAAATTATAGTGTAGTTCTGAAGCTTATTTGTAAATGTTTAAATGAGCATTAAGCTCTGTGCTACTTAATTAGACATAATAAATACCTTTTAATCTTTATCCATGAAAGATATCCTGCATTTACAATTCTATAAATTAAATAACTGTCATGATATTTTATGTAAAGTTTTGTTAAATCATAAGAATATTCATGCAAAATAAATTTTAATAATACCTTTATAGACATATATTGCAGATATAATTAAAAAATAACAAGTTGAAATAAAAGGACATATGTTCTCCGCCATCGTTTATTTTATGTCGCTTAAATGAACCGTCCGCTGCTGCATGAATGCAAATTCCATTTGCTGCTTCTTCAGCTCCAGTAGTGAATTAGACCTTTAAAACTAGCCCTGCAAATTCATGCAGCTTATGCTGATTCTTGTTGCTTTGGTATCTTTAATATATACTGCAGTTATTCATTCGTTGCAAGCCTATAAATCTGAAGGAAATGTGTTCATGGGATAAAACATTTCAGCCAAAATCAGAAATATGGAATATGTTCCTGACTTTTATTTGCAATAGATATATCTGCTGCATCTGCAGATGCCCAAGCTGTCATTTTAACAGGAACAGAGATTAATACTTGAATTTCTCACCTATGGTGGTAGTATTTTTGGTTATTAACCATTGCCGAAGTCTAACAAATGGTGAGGTGTCTTAAAAATTATTCTTATAAGATTTCATGAGAATGTATATCACTACATGATAATACACAACTACAACTTCACTTTCAACTTCACTGGCTACCGAAGTTGCGATGATCAGCAAAACAGTACAATTAAGCTAAGTGGCTCGGAGCACAGACCAGTAATTAAGGTAAAACATTTTTCGTTCATCCTATGAATCTCCTGTTTTTATTTTAATAATTGGTGCTTAATTTTTTCACACATACATTGTTATTGATACTGGTGATCTATATGCTTTATGCAATGTATAAGATTTTGATTTTTTTTGTTACTTTCTTTAATCATGTCTAGAAATATGGAATAATAAGTTTAGTGTTGCCTACCAGATGTAGCTGTTTTCTATTCATTCTATATTGGTATTATTCATTAATTATATCCTTTCTCTACAAATATTTGTATATATTGCTTGTAAATTACATGATTTGTAAACTCCAAACTAAAACAGAAACCATGTCAATGTATGAATTAAAATTAAACTAAAGTTCCATATTAGGTTGATATACATTTTGAATAAATCTCTGAAGTGAGTTTAATCAAATACTATGCAGTTTAAAATTGCATTTTTATTTAAATTTGTAGAATTGTTTTCTGAACCTGGTTCTCTTTCATTTCTCTGGATTGATTTAATTAAAGCTAGGGCAGAAGAAATATTTCTGCGAGATGCTGTGCATTGTCATGTAAACATGTAAATAACAAAACAAGAAATTCCTAAGCAGCTAGACACCTTTAAGTTTCAAACCCATAGACTGCTAAGCGTTGGTAGGTTTTATGCGCTAGAATTATTTTTGAATTTACTGTATTCAATAAAAATACATCTCATCAATAATGGTTGTTTATAGAAGATAATAATTACTCTGCGGCTTTTTATAATACTTTTTAATACTTTTTCTAATTTCGATAAATAAATCTCATTTTTTGTGGTGGATTTTCCAATTGTATAGATTCATTAATGTTATTTAAAAAAAAGAAAAAAAGAAAATGTAAAAGTTATTGGCATTTATTCTTTCTTAGATCCACTAGTGGCCAAATGGACCAAGGCATTCGAACATTCATGAATTGATGATAAGCTTGCTATATTAGCTAATATATCTGTATGCACATTATGTAAATATGAAACAATTACTGTCAAAACGCCGTCCATAGCGATATCCCTTCATTAGCCAGGTAGCCCTCATGTACTTAGGCATCTAATTAAACAAGCTATCAGCATTTCTTTTTTGAATGTGAAGTGGTGTAAGCAGAAAACTGTCTAAATATTAATAATAAATTATGTTTGAATAAAATGAAAAAATAAATTAACTTCACAATTTGCTTATTGCTGCAAGATTTCATCATTACCACTGGATTTTATTTTGGATGTAGAAGAGTAAAAATAAAATTGAGTTAAAAATTTGTAATCAAAATGATAAAAATGTATTTTATCACATTCATGGCATGAAATAACATATGTTCCAAAACGCTTTAAGAAATACAATGAAAGTAACTTTTATTTACTTATCGGTTATTCAAGCTCGAATTTTCTAGGCTGTAATTTCTGAGAAGAATTTATTAGGCCACTAGCATCTTTAGCGACATTTTGTTAACAGTACTAAACTCTTCAAAGATATCTGTAGCAAATTTTGTAGACTATACGTACTAGTCATTATTTAAATGCTCAGAACCTGAAGAAAAATAAGGAGATAAATTGATTTCAGGATCAGAAGGAAAATTACAAATAACTGTTGCAGCAATATCCCTTTAATACAAAAAGGGAAGGAGACCACAAATAAACAGGTAAAGATTACCGAAATGCCACTGGATGATTGGATATTATTTTGTGAAATTATTGGGCCAAGAAAATATGAGCCAAGGTAATGGATCGGCAACTTTTTAAATGACTAATTTTATTAAGACGATGAGCCATGCGTTTTTGTAATACTGAGTATAAAGAGAAGCAGTTGTGGAGCAGTTGATTGGTAGCACTTGTACCCTCATGCTTCTGACCTTTATTTGTAGCGAATAAGAATTTTTGTTTCACTGTAAGCAATAACTAATCTCCTTGAGGTGCTTGTGCTGTTTTAATGTTATACCAAATTTAAATTAACGCAAATATAATTTTATGAATATCGTTCCATTGATACTGCTGGTCCAATTTAACATGCTTCTACTTTAGTATTTAGCATGTCATGAACACAGCCAAGCTGATATTTCAGCAATCTGCCCTCATGAAATTTATTTGTATATGTTTAATTCAAAGTTTATGTAACATATGAAAAATTCTTAAGCAACTTTAAAATAATCTTCATTCGGTAGGTGTTTTTTTTTTTTTTTTTTTTACCTTAATGAAAATTGTTTTGTAACCAGATAAATGGATTCTAGCAGATTTATTGTGAAGTTTCTGTTCATGTTAATTTGTGGAAAGGTACTTTTCGATTATCCACAACCCCGTTTCAACACTAAAATAGAATTGTCATATTTTTGGTATATTTTTCAGGTATACACACGGCAGCAACCAACCTATGGATGTGTATACCATACAATTGTTTCAATACACATAAATTTACACACTTTATATTTAAGGAACATTACTAAATAATGTCTACTGACTAAAAATACCCAGCCATTGAGATTTTTTTTTTTCAGTAAAAATTCTTGTTTCCTGTAAAATGCTTTCTTTGTTCTGCTATTTTTTATGAACAGAACAAAATCTGTGTTGTGTTAAGGTAGTCAAACAAATATTTTCCACTCATTCACAAAATTACCAATGAGAAGATGACTCTCCGTGAGGGTGTGTGGATAATCAGAAAGTAGCTGCAGGAAATTAATCCTAAAACTTTGAAACAAAGGTATATCTCATCAGTTTCAAAGTAATCTAAGAAAAGGAGATTAGTATACTTACTGGAATTTGCAAATCTTCCACATACTATGCAGCTGAAGTGATAGAACTAGGAAAAGATAAAACAATAACCTGAAATTATCATTGTACTTTATATAACTTATAAATATTCTAAATATTGATTGACATTTTTCGAGCATCATAAAAAAACCCGTATGACTTAGAATTTGAATACTTGCTAATTGATGGAATATTTCTTCATCACTAACGAGAAGAAACTGAGTTAAAGAGGTAAACCTTAGAATTACTTTTCTACAAAAATAAAAGAAACTCATAAATCTCGCATTCTTTGACTCTGTTTTCCACCGTTACTGTTTTTTTTTTTACCAAGAATGTATTTCTTACTCGATAAATGTAACTATAATTCATCTATTCATATGAAATAATATGCGAATAGATCTGTTTCTGTACTGTATTCCTGATTTATGAGAAGGTTTATTTATTTGAATAATTTTATGCTTTTATTAGCAACCAAATCCCAATAGACTTCCACTCTTTGCTTTTTGAATGAAGTTGCATGTAAAATATTTGCAATATATTTCACCTGAGTATTTTTTCGTATTCATTAACCCTCTGAGCGGCCCGCGGTTTTTGGATCTGTCATGAAGACCTGTATTTAAAAAGCCTTTATTAGCTAAATAGGTATATTTACCTATTTTACACTCTATTTTCATAAACTTGCATTCATTAAGATGGCATTTATATTAATGAAAGTAAGAAAGCAAAATATCTTAAATTATAAGCTAACAAGTGACAAAAAATCTCATGACCAGATAAAGCCAATCGTGGCACTTGGAGTGTTAAAATGTCATTTTTTATAAATAGTTGAAGTCCCTTAGGTTCATTTGGTCAAAATTTTATTACTCTAATTATGTGCCAGATTAGTCCTACTGCAGTTCAGTACACTTTAACATCAGAAAAAGCGCAAGTATCATTTTTAGCGATTTTCTTCAACATCGACGTATTTCAGTAAAGTGGGTAAATTGTATTTTATTTGTCATTAGATAATTTTTTATGTGATTTTTATTAGTAACTGCATTAGTATTTAACAGAATGGTTTTGTATTACAAGTAATATAATTCTAAAAACAGAGCGCATATTTAAATGATTAACTGATATTGTATCAATTGAAGGTAAAATTTCTAACACCTCTCTGTGCATAACTTGACAAGTTTTCAGATTCTAACTGTATTTTCTTGTTTCCCAAGAAATCAGCTATGTTAATTAATAGTCAGAAAATAATTCAAACATTATCTTTGTTTAACTGTCTGCAGTCTTTTCCCTCTTTTTATTTAGAGAAAGATTCAATCTTCATGATTTGAAGTGTTGAAAGGGACAGTATACTCTTTTTAATGAAAAGGCACTTTATGAAGATTACAAGCAGTTACTACAAGATTTGAACTGCTGAAACTTAATCTCATTGTCATATCTTACTTTAAAAAGAATCTGATTCTTCAGATTATGGCAAAGCACAAGCCTTGTCTTCTTGAAGGAAGTAGTGCTTTCGTGGAAGACTTCTTAAGAGAAATGGCCATGTAGCCAGCCCATTCTCTAGTCTGATGCTAGGTCAAACTACCACTGTTCATCAAGTTTACGCTTGGCTTCTATTGCCTTGTTTTATTAAAATGAAGCAAGTAACTGAGAAAATGCTTCCCTCCAACAATTTTTTGGTATAAAAAGATATAAAATTAAATACTCCCAATGATATCAAAAATTAAATCCTCTGAGCAACTTCAAATATGGGTGCCCAGTCTTTTAAACTTGCCCCAGCAATCTTGTCATGGTTTATATGTATATATAAGTGTGTGTCTAGATACACTGACAAGTCAAAACATTATGACCATCCCCACATTTTTCAATGAACCCGTATGGATGACGTGGAGAGCATGTGATTAAATGGGAATGGTATTTAACTGCTGCTGGAGAAGGTAAGAAATCATTCTTGCGCTTACTTTAATGAGTGCTGATCTAAGCAAATTTGATAGAAGGCAGGTTGTAATGGCCGAAGAGTCACAATGAGTATCTCCGAAACTTAACGACTGGTAGGTTGTTCATGATCTGCCATAGTTAGTATTTATGCATAGTGAATAAATGATGGTAAAACCAGCAGTAGATGCCAAGGTGTTGGATGTCTATGCATCATCAAAGGAAAAGAGTACAGGCCATTGAAATTTGAATTGTCCCTCTGGATCTAGTAACCTACGGCAACTCTTTATTTACTTGAACTCTGAGTGATAATTAGAGAAGCTTCATCTGCTGATGAAATCCCCAATGAATAAAGATTCTGAGCTATTCAAAATAATTCACCACTCTTGAGTTTGAACTGCTGGCATGTTGACTTATACCATTTGTACCAGGAAACAGTTCCGATATTCTACCAAAAGACAAAAGTAATTTTTTTCTGTCATGAGTTACTACTAAAACTATGTCTCTCTATTTAAGATCACAAGCTCGAGATGTCTTCCTTAATAAAGCTGCAAGATATTCTTGGTGAAATCTGTTTCAAAAAGCATCACATATTCTGGATATAATGTTGTCTGCATTTTTAAAACTTTGTGCTACTGTCATGCCTGAAATTAGGAATTGAATGTGTACATTTCCTCATAGTTCAGACTAGATTTCCCAATGATTTTTCTTAACATTCTTAATATTAATCGGATGCTCCCACCATGGAGTGCCAGGGGGTATAAAATTCCAAATAATGGCCTCATCATTCATCTGTTGAGACACATATTTGAAATCAGTTAAGGAAAAAGCGTTACTTGTACCAGCAAAAGCGGTTCCATTGTAAAAATTACTGAGGGTCTTCCATGTCTTAAAGTGATAAAAAACCTGTAAAAGTGCTTTTGTTGACAGTGAAGTTGAAAAGTTCTAGGTGAACGCAATGGTACACTCCACAGAAAAGGACAAATCCCTACTCTCATTTTGTCTTTAAGAAGTAAAGGACCTGCAAAGTCAGTTTCAGTAATTTGGATAGCAGCATCTTTCATTCGATCTCCTGCCAGTGATGGTGCTGGAGGATTCACATTTTTGCCAGAATAGGGTTTACAAACAATGCAAGTCCATATAACAAGTAAAACAGATTTTCTCCCAGATAAAATCCAATATTATTTCTCTTATGTTCTTCCATTGTTAAAACTCTGACAATGGGTGGTTGCTTGGTGAAATTGCTGGAGTTCTAAATTAGGATGTATGATCTCTTTGAAATATTGCAGATTTAGATTGTATCTTCTACAAAAAGGCTTAGAGACTAACTTTTTATCTTTTATTCCTCTAAAAGAACTGCTTTGAATAAAATGGATAATTACTTTTTCTGCATTATTTAGTTCAATGGCAGTACGCTCAACTTTCTCTTCTCATGTTTTTGTAGTTATTCACAAATTGATAAATCCTATTCTAACAGTTTTTCTATAACTTGAAAGACGGTTATTTAAAAATCATAGACACTGACATTAATCATAGAGGAAACTATCTACCTCTTCTTTTCTTTGGCAATTTTTTTGTTGCTAGTAAAAGTATAATCATAGATGAAACTATCTACCTCTTCTTTTCTTTGGCAATTTTTTTGTTGCTTGTAAAAGTATAATCATAGATGAAACTATCTACCTCTTCTTTTCTTTGGCAATTTTTTTGTTGCTTGTAAAAGTATAATCATAGATGAAACTATCTACCTCTTCTTTTCTTTGGCAATTTTTTTAGTGCTTGTAAAAGTATTCCTTGGCCACTTTTTTGGTAGTAAATAAAACCACTGAGGTCCCTCCCACCATTTTGATTTCTCTAAATATCAAACAGAGCAATCTGTGCTGCACAAATTAGCTGGATCTAATATTCCTGAAACATGCCTCCAAAATTCTTTAACTGTTAACTGTCTGATTTGTTGTACTTTGTTATGAAAAAATATATATATATATATATCATACTTCATTGCACTGTATCCTGAATCGCTCCAGAAATAAATTTTATGTGTGAAGTCTCTCAAGGTATTTGCACAAAATGTGCTGAAATTGTAGCTCCAAGTAGTTCTAACCATGTTATTGCAGTTATTCGCTTTCCGTAGAGAGCTGCTGTCACTTTAGCTCGTAACAAGTAAGCATGAAGAGAATTTTTAGTTTCAACACAAACAAAAGTTATAGTCATATATGCAGTTTTACTTGTTTCACAGGAGAAATGTAAAGATAGAGGCTGTATTTATTATTTATTATTTATCTTGGTATTTTCAACTTCTGTAAATGGTTTAAGCTATTTAACCACTTACAGGATTCAGACTCAGTTTCTGCATCAACTGCTTGATCCTAAAATAGTTTCCCTCTTCACTTTTTCTTTAAGACTAAAGAAAGTAAATCTCTAACATACACTTCTATCAAATCTTCTTTACCGTAACGTGCTTTTAATTTCTCTAATGCTTTGTTATAACTTGTCAGAGCTCAGCAGATAATCCTCTCTCCTTAAATGTTGTAAATATGCAAATTTGCCATGATTCTATGAACTTGGATCACTATCAGTCTTCTTAAATTGTCCCCAAAACCCTTAGCAGTTTTTAATATTACCATCAAACGATGGCAGTTTTAGTTTAGGATAGCAAAGAATTGTGTCTTTCAAAACATTGTTTAAGGGAATAGCAAAATTACAATCTACAATAACTAAAAGGGCTGAAACCTTAGATTCTAATATTCTTTATTTATAAATAAAAGTTTCAACCTGATCAAACTCCTTATATATTCACATTTCATTTTTTTTAATTAAACACTTCATTTCTAATTAGCTGCGCACATTGTAGCATTTATTTCACTTTCTCTTCCAACAATTTGAATTTCTTAAGCTTTTGATCCTTGGATTAGATCCAAAGATCTTTGGACTTTCAACTTTTTTACAATTATTTAATGCTTTAGTAAATAATCTTCTAAATTGAGTACACTTAGTTTTCATTGCATCCATCATAAACAAAACAAAAACAAAAATTAATTTATTCACAAGTAATACTGTTGTGGATGCGAGATATTCCAAAAACAACTCTTTTGTTGAATCAGCTCAGACATCAAAATAACAAAACTCCAAAGAAAAGTCCTAATACAGTTTTAAAAATGACATGTTTATTCTTACTCATTAGAATTCTAATCATAATCACAGTCTCTCGATACATTGCTGCTACCACAAAAAAAAAAAAATTCACAAGAAAAATGGTTATTCCAAATTGGAGATAGTATGTGCTAGCTTAGTACATTAATATTTATCATACATTCTTATTTTTATTGATTACTTATGCAGATAATATTTTTAATTAGGAAATTGAAGGTGGTTTATATCGAAACGTTTTATCTCTGAGAAATTTTGCAAATTTTCTATTTAAAAATACCATATAACTTTATAATGTTATTTTTAAAAATTATAGTGAGTGTAGCCCAAACTGTAAAAACAGCAGGGAGCTATAAACACAGTTCAGAAACCTCCCATTGAAACTAATTCTAAGAGGATGGGTTTCTAGAGAAAATTGCTTATTGAATTTATCATTCGAAGGTGTGATGGCTCACCAGCGGCCAAGTGGTAAAGTCACTGAAACCTGGTAGTTCAACCTGGGTTCACTTTCAGGCAAACGGGCTACCTGCACAGGTGTTTTTGTGGTTTTCCCCATGTATAACATAGATACAAGGCAGTTGACCTGAGAAAATCCCCCACAAAGGCATCTCTGTCCCTTACTCAGATAGCCTTTGTGTGATTTGATGTAATCAAACCAACTAATCATAGGTGTGCTAGCAGTTTTGAACAGACAAAGAAAATCACCAAACTTGAGATAAAAATTATCATTAAGGGAAGTAAGGCCTTTTTTGCCTTAACAAAAAAGTTTTTTTAATTTTTCTTTTTAAAAAATAAGAGTTACTGTTTCTTATTCCAAAAATATATATATCATGTTTAGGTTTTAAGTACTACACACTTGTAATTAATAGGCACACTATTCAAATTAAGATTCAAATTAAGATAGGCACACTTTTTTTTTTTTAAAGAGAGTTTTAAGAAGTAGCTTTTAATTGATACTATCAGTATATTTTCTAATTATTATTCTCGATTTATGTCAGCAGTATTGTGCAAAATTTCTATTCAGAATTACAAAGTTAGCAACAAAAATAACTTTTCAGATTATCAAAGTTTAAAGAATCATTTACTTCAGCAGATCCATGACTGAATCATAGCTTTTAAAAGTAGGTTTGTTGGTGTAGAATCGTTGACATTTGGAAAGGAGGATATGGTTATATGTTTTGAGGAACTTATATTTTGAAACTCAAGTGCTGAAAATGGCAAAGGTTAATGCAGATGTGGCAATTTGAAAGATTGATAAGATTTGTTCTTTACAGTTGTAATAATGATTTATGGAATCACTTAGAAAACAACAATCCTTAGAAGAAAAAAATAAAAGAAAGCATGAAGCTACACTGCCGTCATTACAACATAATTATAGTGCAAAAACTTTAAAAATTTAGAAGAAAATATATTGAAACAATGTTTGTTTTTCTCAAAATGATATTTTTCTAAAATTCTATCCATAAAACAAACCTTGCATTTTATTTCCTATTGTATTGGGTGAAATTGTTGTAATTTATCGCCAAAAAGAAACAAATTATTGAAACCCTGGTTTTTGGCCCTTCCCCCTTTTTTTTAAGAATTCAAATTTTTTTCTTAAAATTTCTTCCGCACTTTTTTTCGTTCTACATGGTAAAATAAAAATAAGTTCACTTAAATTTATGGCTATAACTGCAACTATTAATGCAAATTTGAATTGATTGCATATGTAAGAAAAAATTTTATGTATACCTGAGTGCAATCACTATCTAAAATCTGTGACTTCAAGAACCAATCGTGATTTTTTCAAAAAATATAATATTAAGGATAAAAATAAAAAATGAACATTAGCATAGTAAAAATAATGTTTACATAGTCTATAAATAAAATACAGGATGTGCATAACTTAATCACTAGATAACAAAGTTAAATAGAAATCTAATTTTACTAAGTAATCAGAAATAATTTATGTCAATATAATCTTTAGTTCAAGATATATCTTTTTTTTTTTTTTTTTATTTTTTGTGAATGGCTACATATAACTGTTTGGTTGCAGACAAAATGGTGCCATACAGTGAAAAAGCTATGTGCATTCTCTGGTTAGGGGAAACAAAATTTCAAAACAGATCAGAGGCTATTTGGGCATGAATTTAATAAACATTCACCAATGGAATGATCACTTAAAAGATGGTTAAAACAGTTTCGAGAAACTGTACATGTTTCGCATACTAAGCAAATTTATCAGAGTTTGCTTAAAAATCATTCTAATGAAAATTTAAAAATATTTTATCAACAGTGACTGCTGCATTGTTATTATGCACCAAACTCTGTCACTTTATAATCAGCTCATTAATCTATAAAAACTGTCTTGTCAGCTTCTAAATAATCATAATATATATAAATAATTTGAATAGGATTTTTTGCAAATAATAATAAAAGTAAAGAAACATACCTTATGGTTTATATGCACCGCTTCATCGAGAATAGGAAGTTCACATCTTTCGCAGACCTAAGGGGGTAAAATGATGTAAAATTTGAAGTCAAATATACGCTAACATAAATAAACTAAAAAATCATTATAAATATTTGCCATTAACTTCTATTAATCCATTGTATGTGTGTGTATATATAATATATATACTAAAAGCAAAATTTAGAAGCACTACTGTTGTAACGTTGTCAGGCGTAGAACGTAGATCCATACTGAAGAGGAAACTTGGCAGCCGAGTAAGATAAAATTTCATTTTTATTTAAATTCGGATTTGTAGCGACAATTACTTGGCATTCTAATTGTGCCTGTTTACAGAACAATTACATTTTTTAATATTATTGCTATTGAAAGAAAGCACAGCAAAATAGCTTCCAAGCAGCACAGTTCAAGCTAACTGTGTGCGTTCACCCAATATGGCCAGTCTGTTAAGAGAGAGGTTTTGGTTTATGTTAGAAAGGTTTCAGTTTTCAGAGTTTATGTTCCAAAATAACTATGTCATCATTGCCCAGGCTCTGGCATAGTTTTCATCTAGAAATGATGCAGTCCAGAAATGTTATTGAAATTTTTAGAATAAAGAGAGGAAGTACTAAAATAAAAAATGAGGAATTTAAAGCCTATTGTTAAATTGAGTTATAAAGCTAATTTACATATTTTCGATAAGTAAAATATATAATTAAGTTAAAAACGGGCAATCTTGCGAATTTATAAATGGAAAACAAAGATAAAAAATTATTGTAAAAAAATAAAAATAAACAAAGTTGCAAATTTAGTGGATTTATTAGGACAAAAATCAATAGTCTTTGGATGAGATTGGCATTTGAATGAAAATTTAAATATAAATAAAATAAAAATAGAAAAAAAAAAAACACAAAACTGATACAAATGTTATGTCACTGTCAGATTCATAACTTCTTCAGGACATGGAAAAAATTTGATACTGATGCTACTAATATCTAGCATACTAGATTCATTTCTCTTCATCTCAAGTCAGCAGAGGTAACTAAATTTATTATTTTAAAATTATTTGTACTGCTGAAAATTTAAGGACATCACTGCTACAGATCTATTTTGCTAAATCTAATGTAAATACAGAAGTAAAATCTAAATTCAGATTGAAGTTCAACATACCTAAAAATTTTCCAATAGTAGTAAATACACAAAAATGATAAGATGCCCAAAACAAAATTCTATGCAACAAAACTATGCATACTTGTTAAAAGTGAGTACAAATAAATAAAGGAAATAACCATCTTGAATTAAAGATTTATCATTGCTTATTAATGACATGTCTGCATACAAAAATCATTAATCCTGAAAAGGCCAAGGTTAAAAAATGACTTGCTCTTAAATATGCTACTTCAGAAATGGTGGTTGCAAAAAAAAAAAAAATAGATGTCGGTTGTAGAAGTAATATAAAGCAAGGTATACTGTTAGCGACTTACAATCTCACAAAGTAATATTGGCAAAAAAAGTTGCTAAAACTTAAAGGAAAACTGTTTAATTTAAATACTGGGAAAAAATTGGGGGGAATTGAAATAAAAATATAACAGTGTAACAATTCTTCACACTGTTTTGGCTGCAATACCAACTTTTAGAAGAGAAAAAATGGCCTCATTATTCAAAGTTAGAGCTAGAAAAGAACATTAAATTATATATTTAAGTAAAGTAATACATATTTTTTACATACTAAAAATATTTTCTCAGTCATCTACCTCGTTTCTTCTTACAGTTTAAAAGTGGGCTTCTTAACGTAAAAAAATATTTATAGTTCTTAGCTGATGCCAGCTTTTTGAAGCTGTGTCTTAATATAATTAGGAGCTTTATTGTCTATGAAAGTAATAAAATTATGCAATTGCTTGACTTTTGAGCATATATTTTTATACAAACTAATTGATTATAAGTATTAATACCTAGAACCATTTTAGAGATGTTGGTGTTGCAGTTTTTAGTTTTTGAATTGCAATTGTGTGAAAGTTGAAATCCCTTTTCTTGTCAAAAAGTCATACCTCCTGGTAATTAAAAATGCTAAGATTCAAATAATTAGCAGTCAGCTGATATGAGTTGGTTTTGTTAAGCTTAAGACAAGATGGGTAAATGCTGCTAGATTTGATGAGATTAAAACTGTTGAGTGTAATGATATCATCAATGTATCTGAAAGTAAAAGAACATTTTTGTAGATCGTCAAAAAGTGAATGTAGAAATCTGTGCCTTTTAGTAAATAAGTGAAAGCTTACATACTTGAATAGAATAATTAGTTCCTAAATGGATTCTATTAATTTGTAAAGAAGTAGCATCTCGAAACTTAATGTAGTTGTGAAAAACTAAGCAGTAGAGATATTCCTTACAGCTAAACGCATTCAATATTTTAAGCATCTCTGGAAATAATGCTTTGTAATTCTAGCAGAATGCTGTAAATTTCATTAAGTGCCATTGATGTATAAAGATTCTCAAAGTTGTAGCAATTGATGTTAAATATATTGACTTCTTCAATAGTTTTAAGCACAGGAAGGTTGTTATAAATGATCAGGTTGAAATGGAGTTCATTGATTGCCCTTTCAAAAAGGATTTCAAATTTGTATGAGTTTCAGAGAATAGGTGCAATCAAATCCTTTCTTGTGGTTCTGGCCCCGTTAGCAATAAATCTGAACTTGACTGAGCTCTTGTGAAACTCAAACACAGGTTAAAAAGTTTACTGAACTCAGAATTTAGGGATAATCTAAGTTTGTTGGGAAAAGCTTATTAACGATTGCTTTTTCATCATATTTCGCAACACAATAGGCAACTTGGTTGCTTACATTCAAATTCCATAAGAGAGCTGTAGAAATTTTTACAGATGCTGCTGAAATTATTACTGGTTTTGTCTGTTTCGGTAATAATGAATTTAGCCTTCAGAGCAGAAGTTTTCTTTTTGATCTTTAGTCCAAAAAATAAACATGGTAACCTTTTAGGCAGTAATTACACATCTCAGCTAATTCCAAAGTTCTGAGTGTGTTGACAAGAAGAAACTTAACACATTTATTTGCATATGCAAAAAAAAAAAAAAAAAAGGTAACAGTACTCATAGGTTAGAAGATTACTTTTAATTGTTTTAATTCTTTAAATTGAGAATAATTGATTTGTTAATCAGATAAGCCGAGGACCAGTGCGTAAACTAGTGCAGCTGCACTGGGCAGCAGAATTTGTTGAAGGCAACATTTTTACAATTTAGAGAAGGGACCGGGATGCAGAATTTAGGGGCAGAAAAATATTTTGAATTTATGGAAGTGCTTGGGATTTTAGCTCTGCAGAGACTGCACTGGACCTCAAAATGTCTAGCACTGGCTGTGGAAAAGCCTTATGTATACGTGAAAATTTATTTATTTGTTACTCAGTAATGTGTGGGAAATGCATGTAGTGTGATAAATAACCTACATAATTCAAGCTTATCTTCGTCAGTGTGCAGTAGAAACAAGATAAAATTTAGTGGAACATGTCTTAAATTGCTAGTCCCATGAAATAATGCCAGTAGTATATAGCAGCTGCTAGCTAAGCTTTATGAAAATGAAGGTAAATTCTTTAAATTGCAATGACTATACCCCAATCATTAGTTAGCAGGCAGTGAAGTCTGTAATATGGTTTTAAATCCAGAAAATATCACTGCCAGTCTTGAAGGAGTCAGAGAGCCTATCGAGAACAAAAAAAATTTCAATTCAAAATTTAGTGGGAATTATCAATATGGCAATTACAGGACTTGAACAATGAAACTTTGTAAATGAAAAGAAATTATATCTGACTGTAGAATTAAAGAGAAAGTATTAGCCCAAAAAAACAAAGCAAGTTAAATAACTTGCATTGAAAGATATGTTTAATGAAAGAAACAAATAAATATTGAGCCTTTTTTTTTTTTTTTTTTAATTTTGATTCCCTTAAGGTCAGAAATGCTTCATTATTTCATAAATCACTATTTTATTTTTTAAATTTTGTAATTTCTACATATTTTACTAGACTTAAACTGATGATCTAATATCTGGAATCTCGTATCTCCCAGCGAGTCCAGATCCTTGGACTTTGTACTGTATGTATTATACGTTTCTCTTTGCTTATGTTGTACCTCCCAATTGCTAGTTTATAAGAAACAAAAACTTATGAGAAAAATACTTACTACCACAAAGGGTCGTGGTGGGCCTTCTGGAAGTTTTGGTCTTTTTGGAGGGGGAGGGCTGGAACTTCTTTTGTTGCCCTGAAAAAATAATAAAGTTATTTTCATCTTATTAAAAAATATACATATATAATTTCAAAAGGTCAAGTTCTTTGGTTACAAGTGAGTGGAAGAAGTTTAGGGACAGTGGTTTTCAAAATTATGTGACACAGGGAATCCATTAAACTAGAATTTTTACTTGTAAAGTCCTGATCATCCTAAGGAAATTGAGCTTAAAAAAACTCTGAAAAATATATCAGGGCTTTATATGGAAAATAGAAAGAAAAATCATTAATTCATAATAATGTTTTTACAGAAAGATTTGAACATGCGCTTTATAAGTGTAGTTTTTAATTTAATAATTCTTTAAATTTATGTGTAACGGTTGGAAAAATAATTATTTGCCTTTTTTTTTAATACAAAATAATGTTGCGTGCAGCTGATTTGTAGAGTATGTAAAATAATTTATTAAATTTGTAGAGTTTGTAAAGTAATAAATAATTGTAATTGCCTTATGAACAATATTCCAGTACACATTTTTGTCAGGTGTCACCCATATTTATGTCATTCTTTGTCAGAGAACTATTCACATTTTCCAAAATTTATGCATTACTCCCTTTCATGGTATTGACTAACTTTTAACTAAACTAGTCATGGTATTGACTAGTTTTTTCTTCATTAATTTTAATAATATTCATTTAAAATCCAGTTTTTATTAACACTTCATTTAAAATGACAAAGATGTCTGCTAAACTGGCCTCAAATTCCAATCACATCAGCTAGCATACATACATTCTTTAAAAAAATTCTGATTTCCACTTTTAACTCAAAAAATGGGCTCAAGATTTTTCTTT